GAAGCCGAAAGTTGCTGGGAAGTTGCTCGGGTGCTGGGAGCAGGCTTTTAAAGTGCCGCCCGAGCAGGACCGCCGAGCCGGGAAACGGGGCACCAAGGCAGGGCAAAGCTCCACCAGCACTCCAAGCAGCCCGCCCCGCCCACCGGGTGGAACCCTTCCCGCTCCTCGGCGGGAAGACGCTCCAGCCTGCAAGCTTTGCCTTTGCAAAGTTTAAGCCTGGAAGCCCCAGAAAAAAAAAGGGGGATCGGCGGGGACTCACCTTCGGAGAGGTCGCACTCGAAGGTGATTTCAAACTCCCAGCCGAGGCCTTTGCAAATTTCTTTTCTTTCCTACCCCTAGATCGCTCCGCACTGTTTTGCAGCTTTGGGGGCCATGCGGCACAGGGCAATTACGTCACGCCCAGCGATTTTTTTTCAGGGGCGGGCCGGATTGGACAGACCAATGGCAGCGATTTTTTTTCAGGGGCGGGCCGCATTGGACAGACCAACGGGCCGGATGTGGCCCGCGGGCCGTAGTTTGCCCACCCCTGCTCTATAGGTATTCAGAAAATTGCTTTCTGAATTAATAAAAAAAAATCATACTGTTTTTTTCCCTTTGATATGTTTTTTTCATTATTTCAAGAAAACAAAGTAATGTAGAATTTCACTGCATTTCATATTAGTGAAGTCTGATTGTTTTCAACAGCGATACTGGAAATACGAATCTTGAGGGGTTTTTACCCTATTCATTTACTTCTAAAAATATTTTTCCTAGAAGTTGTTGTTTCATCAAAATATTAATTTAATATTCAGAGTTCACTCAATTTTATTATTATCTCGAAACAGTCTTCAATTTCCTTTAAACTTTGTCTAAACAGCTGTGCATGTTGCCATGCAATATTGCCATCTCCGCCACTTAGTTCAGCTTCTAACATAACATTTGTTGTGTTGGAAATATCAGGATAAAAATGAAGTCTTTTATCTATGAAATGGAAAAAAAAATCCTGTTAAAACAATTTTAATAACTATATATATAAAACTATATATATAACTATAACTAAACTATATATAACTATATATATAAAACTATATAACTATATATATATATATGTAAAGATGTTAATAAGCTCTGAAAATTATTATACAATGGTAATTGTTTAAATCATTTTCAGAATTTGCTGACATAGAACAGGCAAGAGAACACATATCAGCTTCAGTGGTGGTATTCTACCGGTTTGGTCCGGTTCTCGTGTACCAGTAGCGCCGAAGAGCAGTGGAGACCGAACCAGTTCTCTAAGATGCTCTGCTGTTGGGCCTGCGTGCCCACCCAGGCTCCCATACTGACCTTTATGTCCTGCTTTTGAAGTGCAACTGCTTTGCGCGGCACAGCAGATTGCCGCATGTCAACTGCTGAAGTGAAAGGGAGAGTGCAGGATTGCAGGAGGTGAATTGGAAAGCCTCTGTGCCTGTGCAAAGTGCATGTTTGACACGCGCACAAAGTGTATGCGTGTGCATAAAGCACGCCCACCAAGCCACATCCACCGAACTGGTGGTAAACTTTTTTGAAACACATCACTGATCAGATTACTATCTTAAGTATTTAAAAAGACATACATTTTCTTTTCTACATTCTTTTTTCGACTCTGTAGTACATATAGTACATCTGATGTATATTACACATATTTGGAAACTGGCATGTGTATGGTAATACTGTTCCAAAAATGGTCCTAGAAAATGAGTTTAACTAGTTGCCAGTCTCCATAGTAGGAAGTAACTTAGAAAATGCAAAACACAATATCCTTAAAGAAGAGAATCAAGTTGCACTAATGGATATTAATACAAAAGATTTGAGGGGAAAAATTCATGAAAACTAGAAAAATGTTACAGAATGTCCCTAGGAATTTCTAATTTTTTATACAATTAATTAAAGACAAAGGTTTCAAATGGGGAGAAGAAAGTTCAGAAAAAAAAGTTGTTTTACAGGTACTATAGGTAGTCCTCGAGTTACAAATGTAATGGAGCTTGCCAATTACATTTATAACCAGAGGATTCTTAAAAGTGAATTGCATGACTTGACCGCAATCAGTCCCTGCTTTTGCCTATGCATTTGCTAATTGAATGCATGGGTCTTTAACTGCACATGAAGTATCTCAGGGTGGAAAAGGCCATAGGGGTCTAGCGATGGAACAGGCCACCTGCTTAAGACCACCCAAGGCCTCCCCCAACCCCCTAGGGTACCTCATACTCCTTCCCCATCCTGCCGTGCCTGGTCACTTACCTTGTGGAGATCTGTCTCTTGTCTGCCATGATTTCTTTGCCTGCTGCAGTCTCGGCACAAAAAGGTTTGCAAGCCGGTGGGAGGCTTTAAGCAATTCGATTTTGCTGTCCCAGTAGTTGTTACTTGTCAGCTTACAAACACTCTTTGGCTGGATCTGGTATAGGCCTCAGTTTGCAGAGAACAGAGGCCTAAACTACTGTAGTGCCAGATCATGCAAAATCAGTAGCAAGATCAGAGCGAAGGCCTCTTTGTAATCTCTCACTATTTTACACTTCTGTTTTCTGCAAATGCACAGAAGCAGGCATCGGAACCTATGGCTCACTAGATCGTCACAAGGTAAGTGAGTCTTCACAGGCTCAATGGCTGTGGAGATTTGGCAGAATGAATGTTTCAGTGCTTCTGCTGTCGTTGGTAAGTGTAAATGACAGTTGTGGTGCTGCAACATTTGTAACTTTAGGACTGCGTTGTAAGTACTTGGAGAGGGCTAGGCCACAGCTTCGAATGGTTGCTAAATAAACTGTTGTAACTCAGGGATTATCTGTACTTGAAAATACTTGATCAAAATTAATTTATATGATAAGAGAGACAAGCAGAGGTCCTTTTTTCCCTACTCAGAACAAACTTAAATTGGTAGTAAAAAGCATTTTAATAATGAATGGATTTACAAAATGTAAGTAGGCTAAATTAAAATGCCTGATTTAATCTATAGCCAATTAAAAGTTGAACAGAATTATTCATAAAAATCCTATATAGGTGGTTTTGAATTGTAAGCACAATTCAGCACAAAATTTCTGTTGCTAAATGAGATAGTTGTTAAGTGAATTTTACCCCATTTTATGACCTTTCTTGCCACAGTTATTAAGTGAATCACTGTAGTTGTTAAATTAGCAACATAGTTGTTAAGTTAATTGACTTCCTGATTGACTTTGTCAAGTCACAAAAGGTGATAATGTGACCTCCCAGGACACTGCAAACATAAATATAAGTCAGCTGCGAAGCTTCTGAATTTTGGTCACATGATAAGGGAGATACTGCAGTGGGGTTGTATGAAAAACAGTTGTAAATCATTTTTTCAGTGCCATTCTAACTTTGAATGACAACTAAATGAACTGGTATAAGTCAAGTACTTGTATAGAGTAGGATTGATTTTTCTATGCTTATGATCACAGGGATGCTGCAGCACCTACGCTTTTATTGCTTCTATCTCACCCACTGGGTCCCCACTAGGCCTACTTTCGGGTTTCACGCATTTTCCCAGCTCCATCACCAATGGCTCATTTACCTTTTATGGTAGACCTTCTGGAACCTCCGCAGATTGCACTGGGGAAGAATAACAAACTGTTCCATCCCTAGGCCACCTGACCCAGAGTAAGCACCCTTTTTGGAGCAAGCCAGAGATGCTATCTAGCAATGCAGCTTAGCAGCGTGGGCTAGGAATGGAACAGCCTCTCTTCTTCTGCAATGTCTTTCTTTCTAGCCCAGGCATGCTAGAAGCTCTGGGAAAATCATAGTTTTTAGGTCAAAGCACATGAGAGATTAGAGGCTGCAGGAAAGTGATGTTGGAACAAAGTTGTCCTATCTTTGTTTCCATCCTTGCAGCATCTAGCCTCTTTTTCTATCCCTTTGTAATAACTTATAATGCTTCTCATTAGACAGAAGACAGACAGCTATGCAGCAGGCATACGAGGAAGCATGAAGCATTGATGAAGAAGTTGCCTCTTTTCCACCACTGTCATTCCCAGGACAAAAGAAAGCAACAAAACCAGCAAAGGTCAACATGTCCTGCGTTGTCCTCCAATGCTTCTCATTCAAAGGTTGTTTTGTGGTGTGCATACAAGTAAAAAGCACTAGTGAAGAAAAAAACAAGCTGTTTTCTTCCCAAGACACATTCCTTCATTCTGGAAGTGAATACCATTTTAAAGCACCCTTAATTCATTAGGGCCACTCTGAAAATAGCACTTGTTGCTGGGCCACAGTCTAGCTATGCCAAAGAGAAGGCAGCTTGTTCTCATTGTTAGTGTGATCTATGAAATGTGCAGATGGAGATTTATGATAAAAGTTTAGTGGGCAATGGGTAAGCGATGGGTGACAGAGATAGGGAGGAGCATGTGAGATCCTGAGGGGGAGAGTACAGGTGTTCAGGGAATGGGATGGCATTCGGAAGCTTCAGGCAGGGCCTGCACTAGATCTCCCATGGCACCTGTATCTGCTTAACAACCCATGCATTCACTTAATGATTATATCTGCAGAGCAGGGATGAGGGTCGTTAATTGAGACAGTCCCAACTTTTAACCATAATGGGCAGGTTCCATTATGATTGTGAGTCAAGGATTACCTATACTGAGTAAAAAATAATAATTTTTGAGACAAATATGTTTTAAACAAATGCAGAATTATATACATTTATTTGTAACATGTAATTCTCACAATATTTAACCAGAATTAAATCCCACTATATTCAAATATTTATGAAATATATATGAGAATCCAGCTACAGGTTGGAATCAGATTCACAAGTAGAGATACCTTCTAAACAAATATTGTTAGAGTTGCAGTATAAACCAAGAAAATTTGAAGTTCTAGTCTCTGATTTGTTAGTAGTTTTTTTCTCACACTATTCTGAAAAATGACACATTTGACTTGTTCGTGTTTTATTAAAAATTTATAAACATGATGTATTGTTAGCATTGGATACACTGTAATACATCACAATCTTATTTTTTAATATTTTTGCACTGATTGTAAATAGTTATTAAATATTATATATACCTCCATTAACACCAACTGTAATGCTTCCAGAGTGCAGTGTCCACTTTACTCTTCCACTCCCAAATGTTTGGTTGGTTGTTCTAACTGAAATGTTGTCTATTTTTAGACCAACAGAGCCACATTCAAACTTCCAAGAAATGTAGCCAGATGAGAAGCCTTCCTTTCGAGCTAAATAAACCTAATAAGAATGACAAAAATGTGAATATTAACCACTGAATTGCAACCCATTAATATTATGATATTACACTCAACTTAGTGCGTAATCATTTCAATGATGCCAGTCAAATCTTAGTTAATGGTGTTGCTTCTTAAAAGTACAAACCTTAATATATTTAGTCATATAGTCTACTATGCATAGTTTACTTCCTAGTACATGCTGTGCATTCATCTTATTAAAAATAACTTATAAAAATAATTCTATATATAACTTAGTAGAATTCACGTTTTCTTATAGTTTTACAATAAAATTCATATGCAGATAGTTTTCTAGACTATTTAAAGGTGTTGTGCTTTACTACATAATGTTCTACATAAGAAAATAAAATTGCAGATATTAAAAACTTATCAGATTCTGACATACAGCAATGAGGCACATATGTGCCAAAATGTATTCAGATCAAGACTAAAAAGGTGATAATTTAGTACCTTGCTTTGAAAATAGTGCTAGTAGATAGTGCTACTATCAGCTTCAATTAAGAATCCTACATATGTGGAGCTGCACAGCTGATCAAAGCTGTATATCAGAGGTGGTAATCCTTACTTAGCAGCTACAGTTGGGATTAGGTCTGGTGATAAATCAAGTTGTCACTAAGTGGGAAATCACATAATCTCCCTATGACTTCCTTTTCTCACTCTCCTTTCTCTTTTGAATGCTGAGGACAGTCTGAAAGTGAAAAGACTAATGTTTCAAACTTTCTGCTTTTGTTTGTCTCTTAACTACTTCTCCATTCTTGGGAATCCTCATCCTGGTGCTGAGTTACTTGCAATAACTAAATTCATGTCTGTATTTTGCATTTGTTGAATAGGGAGAGATTCAAGACTGTAAACAGACATACAATGGGAAATACACATCAAATGGGACGGAGTGGCAGTCACTAACGTGCTACACAGATAGCCATTATGTGCCCTGCTTAGTCTCCACCGTGTTTCACCAAAAATGTGACCTCTCCAAAAACAAGCCCTACCCCAATTTTCACGCCTGCAACCTTAATAAGCCCTACCCCAAAAATAAGGTCGTTAAGCCCCGCCCATGAGGTGGGGTGAGGTAGTCATAAAAATCTAGCTAGGTTGGGGATGGGGGAATGGAGGACAAATGGAGGCGGTGGGGAAGTGGAGGATGAAACAAGGCAGAAGATGTGGAGCACTAGCTTTCCTGAGGGCCCTTCAGCCAGGCCATCAACATTCTGACAACTGCCTGGCCTCAGGACATTGGTTCCAGAAACCTCATCCAGGAGCCTGCATAGCCACTGCCTACTTCTCCTTGCTCGCTGCTACAACAGAGCAGGAGGCTGAGCGATGCATGTGGGGATCTAGGTGGAGTTGCTGGAGCCACCGCAAGATGAGGCAGGTGGCAGAATGTTGATGGCCTGGATGAAGGGTACTCAGGTAAGTCAGGGCGGGGTGTGGGGGGGATGAGCGGCACCAAAAGCAGGTAAAGGGCTTGAACACCACACTTTCCACTGCTTTTGGCGTCATTTGGTTTCCCTCCCCATCCCCATCAGGCTGGTCTAGTCTGATGGCGGGATTGCCTTCTCTGCTACATCACGAATGGGTATTGATGAAGCCCCATCGCCAGTGGTGGGAATCCAATAATTTAACAACCGGTTCTCTGCCCTAATGATTTCTTCCAACAACCAGTTAGTTCACCAAACTGCTCAGAAAGTTAACAACCGGTTCTCCCGAACTGGTGTGAACTGGCTGAATCCCACCACTGCCCATCACTGTCAAAGTAAATCCCAGGCACTGCGCTGCAATGGACAGACGAAAAGCGCAGCTTTTGTCTGAAGAAGGAGAAGGAGCAGGGAGAAGAGGGAAAGCGGCCGAGTGAGAAGCAACCTGACCCGATTCAAAAATGTTGTGGATTTTTTGTTCGGAACTCAATTTGGTTGTGGTCAGAATCATTTGTCACCAGAGATTCCACTGTATTGAATGTAGTGATTATATCTCTATCGTGTAATAGTGATCACGTGTCTGAGGAATGCTGCAAGGGTTATAAATGTGAGCATTGTTTATAAAAAAAATTCAGTATTGTTATAACTTCAAACAGTTGCTGAATGATGAAGTCACTAAGCAAGGACTACCTGAATGACTTTCTAAGCTAAATGGAGCTATGCGTATACACAGACAAATGTTAGGTCAGGCTGTCTATTTCAATTATCTTTTGCTACTGGTACTTATGCTGACTTTTGAAAATGTTTTATTTGTGTTTAATGTATCAGCTCTTTTTCTATGTTCTATTTTGACATGTCAACAGTTCTTTAATTTCTTCACAAAATTAAAAACAGGTTGAATCTTAAATGTATGAAGACTGGTGTGCTTTATTTTTTTTGCTCATGATTAAGTAAAATTTAGTGTAAGAAAATTTTGTGCAGTTCTTATGTTGAATAAGATAGTAGTAAGATAAATATCCTCACTCTAGAATTAAAAAAAAAAATTCTCTAGATAGCCAAACTTCTAACAGGAGTAATAGTTATACCAGTTCAGAGGGAGGTTATGTAACCTACTCTGATGAAGAAATGTTTTACAATAAGGCATTCAGTGTTTAGGATTTGAAGGGATAAAAGTGCTTTGGAACATGCTTATCAACAGTTTCCCAAAACAAATATTATATTAAGTCATACTGCATCTGTAGAAGACATCCACTAGATACCCAGAAAGATTCAACTGTTCTAAGAAGTTGCTAACTGTGCCATCTGAGCATCCCTGCATGCATATGCCAAACATCTTTTCCCTTTAAATCCGAGTCATGTGCAGCCTTATTTTAGAATAATTTTTTTTCTACTTACCATTTCCCAATCTGATTCGATCTTTCTCCATAAAGAGTCCATTTTCCAAACTCCATTCTCCCAACCATTGATTTTTTCATTATTATTTGATATTCGCATGTAACAATCTTGCACTATATTGTAACTGAGATGAAAAAGCTTGGAGGCTTTCTCTTTTACAGTTGGAATAAATACTACTTCTTTAGTCTAAATAATCAAACCCAAAACTGAAGTTAGTTTCTTGTCAGACATTTAATAAACATCACTAATGAAAAATGTGTATCTGATAGAAACATTTTATATATTATATAGTCAAGTGAAAAAGTAAATACACCCTCTTTGAATTCCATGGTTTTATGTATCAGGATATAGTAAAAATCATCTGGTCTTTAGCAGTACTTAAAAGTAAGTAAATGCAACCTCAGATATTATATCATGTTATTATTTATTGTACAAAAAGAAAGTCAAAATGTAGAAACAGAAAAAGGAATAAATTTAAAGACTGCATGCATTTTGTATGCCTTTCTCAAATATTTTTTTCACGAGATTGGTAGATAACAAAATTTTTAAAACATGTAAAAATAGAAAGGCAATTCAGATTTTCATATTAATTTGGGAAATGAGGTGTAAGTTCGTTGATATTAACAGATGAACTACACATTTTGCTAACATACCTAGAAGCATGATTGTACTGACAGTATTGATGTTAATATTATTTTTAAAAATGCTTTGTATTTTATTTGTTTGTAATTTTAGTGTTCTATTAATAGGAAGTTGAATCTAATCAAAATAATAAAATAAGTCTCCTTTTCTTTGTTCAAATAGGATCTATTTGCTGTTGAAATTTTGATTCTAATTTGCTCTAGGTGAGAGTAAAACAAATTGAAAAACTACACTACAATTTTGGGATGAAATAAATAGGAGAATTCTTTGGCAAGTAAATAAAACCAACAAATATAAGCATAATTATTCTGTCCTCTATAATTACTGACTGAATGTATAAAGGCAGTTAGATCAACTCGACAAAGCATCCATACAAAGTCTTTTTATTGGTTCATCAGACATCCTCAAGATAACTCACAGTTACGTTGAGATTCATCTCAATGTCCAACTCTTTGCATAGCTGACTTTCTGGTGTAAAAGGTTAGTAATTTTTCATTCCGATAATAGTGGAGGAAGGGAATGAAGCAGCAGCATGATGCTGGGTTCAGGCAAGAGTGAAGGAACCTCCCCCAACCCACCATTCAGGGTCAATTCAGTGACCAATCAGGATTATAGATATGGCCACATGACATGGACTAAATTTCCCAGGATATTAACTACATTTAACCATGACGCATTTCCTTAAGGGGACAGCTCCCAATTCCTAATTAATTATACCAATTCCCTATTAACTATAACTGGCTGGACAGCACAATAATTTCATTTGAACACACACCAAACCAACAAGTCACAATTAGGGCTTACACTAAGAATTCTAAAAATTGCTACAAGATGCTATAAATACCTCTAAAGCACTTTCATCTCTGGCAACTCTCCAAGCCAATGATCCAGACACTCTTCCACCAAGTTCTCCTGGCTTTGGTGTTTTTGGACAAATAAACTCAACAAGCTCTACAATGAGTCTCTGTAAGAGCTCATTTTTTCTTGCTTCACTCAATATTTGCTGCCTCTAGAATAAATGACAACAATAAAATTACACCAGGATCTTATACCTATGTACTCAAGAGGCAAATATTCTCAGGAAACTGAAGGATTAGAATCTGAATTTTATTGTAACAAATAATAATATAAAAATAATTTATGATAATTTATTTTACCTAATCTTATATATCAGCTGCAATTTGTATCACATTTATTTATTAAATTTGTATGTTCACAAAGAATATACAACAATATTTTAATTAGCATTAATATTAAAGCAGTTAAAATGTGAAGATAAAAAAATGTGAAAAAATTAAACAGTGGTTTAAATCACATTGTAGAATCAGATAAACTGACAGTTTCATTTACAGGTATAGTTGTCAATGTATGACCTGTCATTTGAACACATGTCAAGTTACATGATTCACTCCTAGAAATCCTTAAGTTAAAGCTACATACAATTTTGTTAAGATTATTGATTGTTTCTCGTAGCACTGTTTCTTTGACCTGTGTCCTTCTAGAAAGCAATTCTTCATGTTTACAAGAGTAACGCCAGGTGACATCAACAACCTGAAAAGCACAAATTATGAAAATACCTTATACAATATTATAGAGAGAACATAGACCGAATTTCTAGCATGTTAAGATTAAAACTATTCCAACGAAGAAACAATATTCTCCTTGTTCTGCAGCTATACAACTGCTTTATCAGAACCAATGCTATAGCTAGTGTTATTGGAAGGTCTGGTTAATTCAGTAAACATTGTTCACCTACCTCCTCTTTCGAAAAGGCAATAATATAGGACAATTTTTTCCCCCATCCAATTTCATACAAAAGGGGTTTATCACAGACATTTTCACATGAGTCGCAATGAAGCCATCTTTGCTGTGACACAGAATAAACTTCAGTCCATACATGATCTGAGGAAAAAAAAGAGAAGCAGCAAGCATTAAAAAAGAAACTTCTCAATTTTAGAATGTTAAGCTCCTCAAAGAAAGAATTTTTTTTCTTTTTTACACTTCACTTAAATGTCATTTGCTTGATTTAGATATATACTCTCCCCATTATTGCATTACTAAGATCACTTAAAGAAAAAGCATGAAAACATTGTCTAACTGTAATGATTTAGATTGTTTAGAAAGATTAGATAATTACATAAAGATATAGATTATAATATTAATCTCTCTTTCCCTCCCCCCCTCTCTTTTGTTCCTTGCCCTATATATTAATAGTTTTCAGGATTTGGTACAATTAATAAAAGTTTATTTTTTGCTAAATTGGTAAGTTTGTTTGCTAAGTTTGATGATGTTCAAAAAGAATGAAAGACTTCTAAATAAATAGAATGACTAAACAGTTATGGCAAATAAAAGCTTGTTACTTTCTTTGTACTACGTTCCCAAGCATTCCATAACTGGAGTTCCAACTACCATATATGAATGTCTTTTAGGTTCTTTTAATAGTGGGACACAGAGGACAATCCCCTCAATAGCTGAATATAAAGAAATATCACCTCAAGCTTCAATGGTGGTATTCACAATGGTCAAATATGGGAGATTCCATTCTATACCCTACAATGGATGTCTCTGCATTTGCAGAGCGGCAGAGGTAGAAGACCTAGCTCACATCCTACTTGATTGTTGCCTGTATAAGAGGGTGAGATACAGGGACCTCTGTCTATAAACCAAATAAATGACCGATTGGGATCCCCATATCAAAACAATTACCTTATCTGCGGCCATAATCTGAAAATAACACAGCATAGTACTTAAGCAAAATGGTTCGGTTGAGATCGCCATATATGGGACAGATAAGGGTGGATTGTAGGGGTGACACCAAAATATAATTTTATCATATTTTATTTATCTATATATTAAATTATTGTATTTTATCCAATTCCATTTTAAATTGTTTTTATCAGATTTTATTAATAATTTGTCTGGACCTCTGCACTTTGATATGACCCAAGGGCTAATTAATAAAGTATATTACTCAAGCCTCAGGGAAGGGAGGGAGTGGGGAGAGAGGGAGAGGGAGGGAGGGAGGGAGGGAGGGAGGGAGGGAGAGAGAGAGAGAGAGAGAGAGAGAGAGAGAGAGAGAGAGAGAGAGAGAGAGAGAGGGCGCTAGCTCAGAAAATTCCATCTTCCTGCTTTTCAACCTCAACCATAAACCTGTCAGGTAGAATGGGCTAAAATGTTATCAGTAAATTATGTTTCCTTCTTAGGCCTAATCTTTTGGTGAAGTCTATTTTTACTACCCCAATTCCAAATTTATGAGTCGTCTGTTGTCTCCAAAAATATTTCTTTCACTTCAGAAATTCTCTCAGTCAAGATGACAGGTGTGTATGTTAGTAATAATAAACGTGCTCATAAATGAAAATTTAAGAGGCCACATCAATATACTCTGATGCAGATTATGATTAAAAACGCAGTGGGTTAGGGTTAGGGTTAGGGTCAGCACTATTGATTAACAATTTCAGAATGCCTATGAAACATTTTGCTTTAACATAAGGTATTCTAAAACAGCTATACCTGTCGCATCCCAAATGTATCTTGCTTCAAATCCTACTGCTCTACAACAAAGTGTAAAACAATTGGCCCATTCACCACAACGTCCTTGTCTAGTTTCCAATAGCTTCTCAGGATTGTTGTATCTGGAAACATAATTTTTTAAATATAAAGTTTTTAGTTACTGCTATAAGAACCAAATAATTCAAATATCTTAAAAGTTTCCCCATAACTATTGATATCAGTAACTATAAATTTTACAATAGGTCAAATATTATAATATTGAAATTTGTCTTTTGGATTATTACATCCAAGAGTTCTTTCAGTCAGTCACCATGGTACTTTAATTTCTTATTTTTCTCTTCTATTGCTATTTCCTTTGTGTGATGTGGAGTCCAAAACAAAGCACTTTATGACTTAAATAAACATACTCTGTTATTTCAAATCTTTAAGCTAGCGATTATTATCCAATAATTAATTCCAGATGTATAAAATCCTACTACATGATTCCTGATTAAAATGAAACCTGCTAAACTAGAGTGATATTTTAATGTTTTAAATTTATTGATAGCACTGTTGCTCAACTCCAAATCTTGAAACAATAAAATGGGCGTTGGTATAATTACCTGAGAATGCCCTTTCTATCTATGCTGCAAGAGAGTCCAGGAATGGGTTAAACTCCTCCTTCTGACGTCAGAGCTGAGTCTGCCCATCTTTTAGGCGAGAAGTATAACCAGACGTATAGGGTAGGGCTGGACTCTCTTGCAGCGTAGATAGAAAGGGCGTTCTCAGGTAATTATACCAACGCCCATTCTCCTATACGCTGCTTCGAGAGTCCAGGAATGGGACATACCAAAGCCTGCATGTCCATGGGAGGGCCAACCTCTGGTCCAGTCACTCTGACTGAGGAACCACCTGTTGAAGCACCCTCCAACCAAACAATGCCTGGGCTGAAGCAAATGAATCCAGGTGATAATGCCGTATAAATGGTGACAGTGAAGCCCAGGTAGCCACTTTGCAGATCTCCTCCAGCGACGACTAAGTAGACCAGGCGGCCGAAGTAACCCCACTCCTAATGGAGTGGGCTGGGAACTGGCATTGGATAAAGTTTGGTATGCCTTGGATATATAAGCTCTAATCCACCTACCAATTGTTGATGCAGTCACCCTGCAGAGGGATGGAACGACACAAACATGGCTTCAGATTTTCGAAAGGCCATCGTCCGTCTGATGTAAATCCGAAGGGCCTGCCTCACATCCAACGTATGCCACCTGTGTTCCAATTTGTGTTGTGGTCTGGGGCAAAAGTCTGGCAACACAACATCTTGCGCCCGGTGAAACCATGTGTTTATCTTAGGGACAAACATGGGGTCTAACCTAAGAACTACCCTGTTCTGATGGAAAAGACACAGGTCCTATCGTACTGAGAGTGCTGCTAATTAGGACACTCTCCTGGCCGAGGTAAAGGCCACTAAAGATTGTATCCTGAGGGACAGCATTTGTAGAGATACAGATCTGAGGGGCCCAAAAGGGGGCTTCGTTAGAGCTTGTAACACTTTACGTAAATCCCAAGTGGGAAACCTATGTACAACAGGAGGTTGAGGGTTAGATGCCCCCATTAGGAACCTGCGCACCGAAGGGTGATGGGACCAAGAAGCATATCCCTCCCAGGATAGAAAAGGGGAGAGCCGCTACCTGGTGGCGAAGCGTGTTAGGGGCAAGTCCCTTGTCCCTCTTGTAGGAATATTAGAACCTCTGCCACAGAAGCAGAAGAGGGGTCTCTGGCCAAAGGCATGCACCAGGAGCAGAATACAATTCTAAAATGGCCGCCAAGCTCCTTAGGCTCTTACCAGGCCCCAAGCGATCGAATTAAGCCGGAACAGCTGAGAAGCGGCAGGAACAAAGTTATGGAGTCAGCTGTAAAACGGCTTGGCCGGCGGCAGCAACAACGAGATTGCAATCAGTGCAGCTGCATGGGAGGTTCCTCCAAATGTTCGCAGTCATTCGCAGCATGGTCAAAGTCCACAGTCCTTGCGCAGCAGGGCTGAAGCCTCGGTGCTGCAGGAGAGCAGATCCCCGCTCTCCTGGAGACAGAGCTCTATCGGATCCCCGGGAGCTAGATTTTAAATTTATTGCTGTCTCTTTGAGTTCAAACTTTTCCTTTAGCTGTTTAAAAGCACTTCTTCCGGAGACTATGCTCTCAGACAAGAAGCTGAATCAAAAGATGGGCGGGCCAGCCAGAGGCTGGCTTTTTATAGTGGTAGACTCAGCTCTATGACATCAGAAGGAGGAGCTTAACCCATTCTTGGACTCTTGAAGCAGTGTATAGAAGAATCTGAAAGATTTGGGGTGTACACGGTGCCTTGTAACACAAGCCGTGGTGGACAAACTTGAGCTACGGGTTTTTCAGTTGAGCACTCCAATTAGGTTCAAACAGGTTGATGGTTCTGTATTAGGGGGGATAACAGCCACTCATAGGATGGATGTGGTGAAAATGGGGGATCACTGGGAACTAATATCGTTTGTAGTGATATTCTACTATATATGATAGCAAAGAACCACCAAATTGTGCTAGCCAATGGTTGTTGTAATCTTGCATTATATATGGAATTTCCAACTATGCAGACTGAAATACAAATGAGATGCATATATTAAATTAATAATGTCTAATACAAATTGTTTACAATTATTAAAGACAATTTGCTAAACTCACCTTGGGAACCTGTTGCTGAACTGGCATTGGTTACAGAAGTGATTTTCAACTCTACTTGCATCCCATCTCAGGTCATCCTCATTAGGTGACAAATTATCTTTAGTTTCTGTCTGTCTCCCGCATTTGCTACATGGTAAGCTGTCTACCCACTTGAAAAAACTACATTTAAACCAATTGATTAACTCCATCAGAAGAATATCCTCTTCTCTCAGAATGCAATCTACACATTTAAAAAAGAATTAAAATTAAAGCAGGGGTCCAAGTTATCAAATTGGCATAACCATTTCAGGAATTACACAAAACTGAAAGGAAAATAATTTTGAAGGAGCACCAAGAAATAGTAACACTATTTCAAATGCAGTATAACTTATATATTCTTATATTTTAGGGAGATATTAATTGGGTGTTTGAATCTAAGACACAGTTGGCTTGTTCCTTATTGACTTACTGAATATTTTTTTAAAAATACAGTAGCTTTAAAGGTTTGGGTACTGAAATTCTTCATAAATTCAGAGACAGTAAATTGGAAATATTAGCATTCTATACATAAATATCAGGACATCTCCACTGCCATAACCAACATAGAATCAATAGGATGACAAATCTTGAATACTTACATTCAAGTTTTCAATTTAGAATTTCAACCAAATCTTCCTTAAGTTGCCCTTTTTCTGCATTGAGATGCAACATTATGGCACTGAAGGTACTGAGTGAAGGTATTGAGTGAAAAAAAACGACTTCAAGTATAACTTATTAGAATTATTTGTAAGTGAATTAAAAATATTTGCTGCACTAGATAAATATAAATCAGGGACAAAAATGACCACCTTTAATAGAATCATGACAAGAGTAATGCAGATAACTGCACAATCCTCTAAAACATCTTTGTATCAGATTGCACGAACATAAGAGCTACAATTCTTACACCTATATAAAAATACATAATTTTATCATTTCTAAAGCTATTCCAAAACACATTTCCTGTGACAATTTTGTTTGTTAACATATGAATGCATTTATATAGTAATGTTTTGTTTGATACTGTCAAACGAACTATTCAGATATTACCTCTGTCCAGTTTTTGGGCTTGTGATAACTTTTTCTGAGCTTGCTTTTTCAGATTTTGGAGTGGAATACAAGCCAAGGCTTTCTGTTGTAAAATTGGGTTTTCATATGCCATTACATGCAGAAAATTTGACTGAAGTGTCTTCAAAAAAATTGATTCGGTTGTCTAAAACGAGGGGCAAAAAATCTTCTCATTTCAATTGTCTTAAACAGAATTTCTAGGAACTTCAGATAAATTTATTCTTCTATATAAACGTTCCTATATCTGATGACCCTCCAGATATATTCTAACAACACAGGCTTCAAGATATTCAGGGATATTGGAAGTTATGGTCCTAATATATTTGGGGAACAATGGTTTTAAAAAGGCTGTTTGAAATATGTCAAAAAGCATGTTTGAACTAGTATGAGAGGTTTACAGGAAGTAAAACAAGTTTAAACAGCTGTTCAAGCATAAATAACTCCTGTTGTTCAAAATCAGTATGTAATGTAAAATACCTGGGTGTGCTTTTTTTTTAAACATGGCATGCCTTAGGAATAGAAGGAATATCAGCAACCATTACAAGTTTATAACATCAGATTCTAGGGAAGAATATAGAAGAATTGCAGGGACCTTGGTAGAGCTCAGATGTTTCATAACCAAACCAGGCAACATTATCAGTGTTAGTAGGCAGTGTGGTTTGCTCTCATTTTATATACTAGTGGCTTGCCCTGTCAGTGTTGGTGAGAGTGGTTTTGATGGTTCCTTGATTAGAATGTTCTCTAGCATTAGTTTGTTGGCCTTAGATGGTATTACTAGTTTGGTAATGAAATATCAGTTCACCACTGAGCTACAAATATTCTTTTCTAGATGAATTAAGCAGAATATACCTAGATATGAAGTTAATAAACTAGTTTCTAGTGCAAATAAACAATCACAAGCAATTATGAGGTGATTGGAATAAATCTTTAAGGAAATCATATTATATCCTTAAAGACTAAATTTATGCAATATATAATTTTAAAGATTTTATATAAGCACAGAAAATATTTCTAGGAATTGACATATGAATTACATTTCCATTTCACACTGTGATTTAAGTCTTCAATTTACACTCCTAATTTCAAATATTATTGTTTAATGTAACAGACTTTAAAATAGGTTACCATGACAGCAGACTGAGTATTTGTGTCTAATTCGGTATCAGTAGTAGGCTCTGTATTTCTTATCTTTCCAGAGGATTTCATTTGATCTGATCCATTTATTCAGCTATTCTTTTCCCCAGTAATTATATTTCAAATAGCTGCTCAATTGATGTCTCCTTAAGAAAAGTAAGATGAGTTTCCCCCTGAAATTACAATTACAAAAGTGAAATCATCTATATTAAAAATCATTTTGTTCTGAATTATACCATCTCTTCTAGCCTGGTAAAATAAATGCATAAATAAAAAATACTCCTGTCAACTATAGGTAATCTTAATAACGGTAATTGCGATCGGAATTCCATTTCCACTTTCATTAAACGATGTGATCATAAAGTAAAACTCATGAGACCACATCACTTAGTGATGGCAATCCTAGCAATCATTGTTGCCATCTTTAAGCAAGAATCAATAGTTAAGCAAGGGTTTCATGTAACTGTTACTTGTGACCAGCTTCCAACAAGCAAAATCAATTGGGAAGTTAGCAGAAAATCTTAAGTCCAAGACGGTTCACAAACACGCTGCCGTGACTAGTTTGTGTGCGTATATACCAGGGGTGGGCAAACTTTTTGGCTCGGGGGCCGCATTGACTTTTAAAATTTGACAGACGGGCCGGGTCAGCACAAGATTTTTTGGGAATCGCCCCCCCCCCCCCCCCC